AAACTCTAACATATATTTCTAGCATAGTACGCAACAACTATTTAACAATTACACATTAACACACAACTTTTTCATAATTATTGAATAGGTCCTTAACTTTCATAAAATTATAAAAGGTCCCTATAACTTTCTAAGGCTTGAAGAATCCTTCCTACTTCATTTCCAACCCTTAAATATTTTTTCCATAATTTTTCTCACATCTTAAAGCTTAGGTCAAATATCAACAGTGTAGGGTTCATGATTTCAGTTTATTCAATTCGATTTGATCATGAAATCAACCTCTATTCAACATTTCAAAACATCTACAATTAAATCCCTAACTTAATTTCACCAAATTATATATTTCCCCAAATTTGGGGTTGGCCAAAACTTATATACACATTTATTGGCGATTTTAATTATCAATCAAACATGGAAATGAATATACAACCTCAATAACATCAAAATCCATCATTGTTTGTTACAACCCTAACATGAACATAAACCATAGAATTTGGGATCTTTGAACACAAGCAAGATTAACATGCAATAATGATACTAAATGATAGCATTTTTCGAATATATCAATTTTCTATTTCACATCTCGATCCAAAATCCAAAGGATATTGCTCAAAAATGAAAAATAAAATTTTTCTTACCTAGTTCATGGGGAGCATGAAACAGAGGCTTGAAGATGAGCTTGTCTCATGAAATTTCCAAGTAATTTCATGTTAATTTGTCATTTATTAAGCTTAGATAAATTGAAAACTCATTTAATGTGAAATGACAATTTTACCATTAATGAAACATCATATTTACATTCATACCAAGCCACATAACCCTTATCATCTTTCCTAAGTCAAAGTTGGACAAAATACTATACCCTTTACGATTTTATCCATTCAATTTTCCAAAAATTTCAATCTTGTCACTTTAATCCAACAATCCAAATTGAACATAAAAAATTAATTCTCAAATCCAATGATCCATATTATTTTCCATCATTTTAAAATGTGGAAATAATATTTCTAAGCTTAATTTAATAACCTTAAAATTTTTCCAGAATTTCTATTCGATCCAATTTACCGGATTTTTACCGGATTTTAATACTTTTTAGCTTTTAATGCAATTTTTCGGATAAAGAATCTGGTTTCTACCTGAACATCATTCTTGGGGTGAACTATTCATTTACAGGCCAAAATACATAACTTATACTTTTGATCCCTAAACTTTTAGAAAATTATCCTTTTGGTCCTTAAAATTTTCCAATCTTTGTACTTTGGCTACCAAACTTCCAAAATTTACATTTTGGCCATTAACCAAAGTTTGGGAGTATTACATATATGGTTCACTATATTTCACAATGCAATGCATGAAATCGATAAATTGTTTTATACACCCCCACATTTCATAATTTTTTAAGGTAGAGAACTATTTCTAATTACCCCACATTCTCTACCCTCAACATGTCTAAACAAATATCATATAAGACACGTAAACAAATTTTCTTCTACTCAGGTGAAATAGAGGAAATTAATATTAGATTTTAAACATAAAATTATAATCACATTTTGTTTACGCATGTCTATATTTCTCAAAGTTTTGACATACTAATGAGTATGAATACTTTCAAATTATGAAATTCCCTAAAAATATTTATCAATTATGACTTTATCTCTTTAAAAAAAATTCAGTCTTTTCCTAATTCATCAAAAGTTGAATCAATAATTAAAAATATTGTTAATAGACGATCTCTTCTCCTTTCTCAATTCTTGGAGTATAGTAATAAAAATTTAATAGTTGCGAGACTATTAATAATTCAAATACTATGACAAAAAATATTATCTCTAATAAGATTATCAAATTTCACCTTTTAACATGTTCTGTAAGTTATGAAGTGTGTATACTAGTCATAGTATTTTATGAATTTAAATAGTGAGTATAGAAATGAACATTGCACCAAGTTGGTATCTATAAATAGAAAGGCGATGCACTGACACACTTAAATACCAAGTCTTTCCCATAATCAATCATAGATATGTACTCTCACACTATTTTCTAATCAACCATTTAAAATTTGCACACTATATTTCCTCCCATTTTAATATATTTTGTAAAAAAACAAATTAAAAAATACATATAAATTGTACTATAATGGTTATCTCGGCCTTAAATTTTACAAAGGCTGAATCTAATTTATTCTCACCCTTTAAAGATTAATTTAAAGACATTCTTTCAAACATAAACATATATTTATCACATGCAAATTTATGTCACTCTTACAATTGATCTATAAATTTATTCATAAAATTCATGTCACGTCTAAGCATGTATTTCTAAATATTCAAGCATGTAATTCTTTTTTATAGAATTAATTTATAAATTTAAACATGCAATGAATAAATAAATTAAATAAATGAAATACCTTGATGTCATTTTCTTTGATTTAAGTCTAGTGTAAGATTTCACCGAGTATCGAGTCATACTCATTTCTTATTCTACGAGTTACTCGCTTAAAGCTAAATCATATTATTGACGACATTTCTCCACCGATAAATAAAGAGCCAATTGCATCATCTAAATTCAAAACACATTAATAATAATAATAATAATAATAATAATAATAATAAATAAATAAATAAATAAAGGGAAAAACCACAGACGTATCATATGCTACCACATCCTTGCACTTCAGCCACTTGAATCATTAATATAATATTAATATATATTATGATTACTTTTAAACCCATGTTTGAGGTAGAGGGGTGAAAAGCTGGGACTGTTGAAAGATCCCTTGAATCTTAGCTTAACATGCCTATATTTAGCTGATTTTTTTTTTAATTTATTTTGAATTCTCCTTGATTCACGTCACTTAACTTTTCGTTACCCCTTTAGTTGGTAGTATTCACTATACAACTCCATATTAAATATAGCACAATTGCATAAATGTTTCATTTTTCTCTCTGTCGCCTCAATTTTTCTGAATCATTCAAATTTCAAACACTCTTTTGAGATCATATTTTTACAGCAGTCAAAATTGCTATTATTAAAAAATAGTACTGCTACAAAAACGTAGATGTTAGCATTGATTAACGCTAATAATAAAAAAATAAATAAATAAATAAATAAATAGAATGATATAATCATGTGCCGTATAATCATTACCTTATAAGCAATTTTGCCTAGATTGGTGTAATTCTGAAAGTGGACATTGTCCTTCAAAGTTAACATAGTTTTTCAGATTTCATACACTCGAAATAAGGAAATGAAATTCGCTTGGCTTTGCTCTTTTCAAAAATAAAGTAGAAGAGAATTGTAGAGAAAAGAAGAAATTGATATATAAAATAGTGAAGTATAGTTTTATATTTATAAGGAAAAATAAGGGATAAATCAGTAATAAATGAATGCTGTTATTATAAAATCTCGACCACTCTTCAATATCTTTTAGATATAGAAAAACGTTTCTAAAAGATATTTATTTTTTATTTAATTATTTGCATTATCCAATACACTATAAAGCCTAAAACAATTCTAAGAGGCCAATAAAGTTATAGCTGTAATGGGAAGTTGTGTGAGCAAAGATATGAACAAGCTTTCTGTAATTTGCTAAATCGAGAGAGAGAGAGAGAGAAAAAAAAAGAGTTAGCAAGTGTAATTGTAGAATGAAAAATATATATATATCAATGGAACCCAAACTTTAGAGTTAAAAAATAAGGTAAGAAGGAAAAAAATAGAAAATTTGAGCTCTACCATGTTTGAGAAAAGTGAGTTTCTCTTGATTTAATAATCTAGAAATAAAAAATTGATAGAAAAAATATTATCATAAATGGATAACACTTAGAAATTGATACCAAATGATACAAGTAGCGAAATAAAGTTTATTTTTTCCAGTCGCTTTTTAAGATTTGAGTGATCTAAGGACATACATTGAGCATCTAATAATAAATATTGGAAAACATTTAAATTGTAAGAGCAAGAATAAATAAATAAATTTATTTATGTTGCTAAGGCAAAATATCCTTGGAGAGCTAAGTGTTTAGTCAATCAAGACATGTTTGTCTCTTATCTTCCCCTTCATGCTTTCTTGTCGTCTTCAAGAAATCTCTCAAATATCAAAACTTTGTGATGTTATAAGCTTAGTTTGATTTTACCAAGGTAAGAATATTCATCCTCACCTTTCAAGCTTTAATTTAAGCCCCCAACCTTAAGTTTTGACCAAAGAAACAAAAAATGGGTTTTAGAGGGGTTTAAGAAACCAAGTTAATTCCAACCTGTTTTTGATGGATTTAAGTTCTAAGAAGTATTCTTAACTTCAATCCAAGCTACTACATGAGTTAGTAACTCATTTTCTTGCACTTGATTAGTGAAAGAAGTGGGAAAGAGCTCCAAGACTAGATGTAAGGAGAAATTGACCCTTGGTTGATTTGAGGGCATTCTTAATAGCTAAGAGACAAAGGTAACACATTCAAAACTCTTTTATACCATTTTTGAGTCATTAGAATGCATTATAACTCGAGAATTAAGTTATAAAGCATGATTGAGTTTTCATGGTAGATTCCATGTTTTGGTGTTTTTGGCATGTTTTAAAGCCCTTTTTATGATCCTTGTATCACACATAAGACTTTAATCATATTTGTGGACCTCAATAGGGCATCTTGTGTAACTTTGGAAGTCAAATTCATACCCAAACATGACATTTTTTGGGTTTGGGTATTGGTACTAGAAGAATAATACCGATGTTATTTTTGCGAGGGACAAAATGAGGGAACTGTAACCCCTAGACCCAACCTATACGATACGACTAGATCTAGCGGATTATAATAAAAAATTTCAAAACAGTTTCAACACTTTAAAATCATAACATCTTTTAAAAATATAATATTAACAATAATAATAATAACCCAAATCGAGTAATATAGAAGATGAAATATCGCAAGTTAAATAAAATACCAATAACTAGTGTCAAAATAATCCATACATCAGAGGTAACATAAAAATACATCATAGAATCAATTATCAAAACCTAGGCACATTTTACCAAAAGATAGGTAGTTCGAAAGATTAAAACATTACATAAACATATAATGTACGAAATGTGTTGATCCTCCAAGTGTTGGGTCTGAGGTGCCTATCCAAAATATCTGAAAGGGGGGAAATTTAGGGGAGTGAACTAGGGAGCTCAGTGTGTTCCAATAAGTACAAAATAAAACATACAAATAAGTCTTTAAATTAGTTCAATCTCATAGTATGAAAGTCATGGTAAAACTTTACAGTTAAATCATTTAATTACCCTCCAACCGTACACCATATGTAGTTCCCCATCACTGTATCCATAAGGACTTACCCTAGGCCCAAAGGATCTAGAAGCCAACCTAAGAGAGCACCTTGGGTCTATAAGGACTTACCATAGCTGAAGCGTATGAGCCATATGAGGGGAGTGCCCCTATGTCCATAAGGACTTACCCATTGCACAAAGCAAAGTAGCCAGCCTAAGGGAGTGCCTTAGGGTCCATAACGTCTTACACTAGGCCCATTTGGCCTAGAATCCCAATCGAGGGTTACCTTAGGCCCATAAGGATTTACCAGCCTAATCGGCGTTGAACTTGTAGAACTCCATATCACATCCGAGAAGTACCTCAGTAAAATAGTTTCAGTAAAATAAGGAAATCATAAACCAAACATTTTACAATAAACAGTAATTAGAAAGCATGTATCAAACAATCAAAATTTCAAATCAGTAAAAGTAAAACTCAGGAAATCATTAAACAAAATCATGCTTTCAAATTATGTAAAATAACAATATTTCCAAATCAGGTATATCATTCATGTGCACATGATAATTCAAACAAATATTTAAAAGCAAATATGTAACACACAAGGAACACACCTTACAAAATAGGTCGGTTTGGGAGATCTAATAATCATTGGTCTTGCTACGATCTACGACGGTACACCATCCTAAACCAGATTAGAAAAAAGTTACCATCGGAGTAATATTTTAAAAGATTTATTCAAAAGGTTTTATTGAACCATTCGGGTAATTACGAACGAAACGATCGAGAGGAACAACCTTAATTTCAAGATTCCAACCTTTCTCTCATGAACTCGGACCATCTCTGTTCTGAATTTGAATCCAAATAAATTTTTCTCACCATAAAAATAACTTATTAGAATTAAATAATAATTTACGGGCCCAATTGGTAAAAATAAAAACTTGTGGAGCTATTATAATATTCAATTACTGAAATCAAGGAGTAAATTGATCTTCTTAAAACCATTAAGTCATATATATATAACCATTTAGAAGCTGGAAACAAGATTAAACTTTTACCAAACTTGGATGACTTACCTTAAAATTTTTTCATTCTCACTTTATCACCATTTCCAAAATCACGTAGACAACTCATTTTTCCACTTACTTCTCCACTATCATTTTTTTTTATTTTTATAGCCCACTACCCCAATTAAATACCATCTTTTTTTATTTCAAACCCCACCACTATCTCTTGAGCTTGCAAATCATTTTTTATTATTCCCACCATATACCCATGCCTTTTCCCCCACGCCAAACACCACCCATGTGCAGCAGCACCAACTCATGCTCCACTAATATACCCATGCTCCACTACCCATACACCCACCTCCACTCATCACGCCCTACGCCACTCACCATACCCATGCCCTGCAAATATGGCACCAACATCGTTTTTAATTAATTTTACAGATGCAATGGGTTATAAAAAACCCCAAATCAGTGTAATATGAGGGAGGGGGCAAGTCAACCATCACCAAAGATAGTGTGCTCGATTTTTCAACAGAAAAAAGAGAGAAAGAAAAGAGAAAACATAAATAATGTAAATCGGGGTTTTATATAAACCCGACCAAAAAAATAGTGTAGGGGGTTCCCTTTTCAGTGTATTTTCCAGAACACGAAAGTAATAAAACATAAAATATTTTCAGGTATTTTGGTTCTTATTTTTTATTTTAATTTCGATCATAATAAAATATATAAAAAAATCAAAAAATAAGAAAAAGAAAGAGTTTACCTCGGATTTAAGGCTCTCACCGGTGACCAAGCGTTGGTCGGAGCGTTCAAGGTGCATTCTTTGTTAGGTTGCGGGTTGGAGGGGTTTTGGAAGTTTAAAGGTTCGGTTTAGAGAAAATAAGGGTTTAAGATCAGTATTTTAGATTGTTTCGAAGGCAAATTGCCCCTCGTCGAGGTCTCGTAGGGTGATGGCCATGGTGGTTCATGGCCACTTATCAGATTCACATAGAAATAAAGTAATAAAGAAAAAAAAATTGAAATGGGGAGAGAGGGAGAGTCTACCACATATTAGAAAAGAAAGGGGTGACTAGGTTTACTAAGATGTTATAATAGTATATATATATATATATATATATATATGGGATCCCCAAAACTATATAGTTTTGGGGTTAGGGTTTTATCCTTAGGGTGCATGGGTAAATTGTTCAAAAAGGTATTTGTTTTTGGATTTTTTGCATCTTAGTCCTTAATTAAAACTTTTAATTTTTTTAATTTTTTTTCTCTATGTTTTATGCATGTTTGTTATAGTCATTGCAAGCCATTTCCTTTTGTTTATTTGAATTTCGGCATGTGATTTTGAATGCTTCCATTTTAGTCCCGAATATATGGGTTTATTACATTGTTGATGCTTGTATTGTTCGATCCTTACATTGCATTCTATTTTATTTGTTTAATCTGTTGTTGTGACCTTTAAAATTCATGTTTGTTTATTTTAGTTTTTTTATGTGAATAAAGCATATTTTAAATTTTATTCATATATAATATGTATGTTGGTAATATATATATATATATATATAATAAAATAAAAAATGGGTAAAAATATATCTATATATACACGTATATATATTTGTAAGATTTATTTTATAAGTTTATTTATTTTTCTTGTGCTAAATAATTTTTGCATTTTTACTCTTATACATGTAGTAAAATTTCTTATGTATTTATATTTTATGATTATATTATTTTCATGTATGAATGTTTAACATGTTAATGATTTCCATATTCTGATTATTTATTACGTGCATGGCTAATATATATATATTAATGTTTTTAGTTGGTTGGTAATTTAGTATTGGTACAAAATCATTACTTTTGCTTATCTACATATAATTTAGTTTTTTTATTCGATATGTACGTATCCTCATAAGTATCACTTAACTCGAATCGAAATAAATTGACTAAGGGTAATATTCGAGCATTTTAATATTGTCGTAAAGTGACCGTCTTAACGTATAAAAAAGTTACTTTCGATAATTTTAAAATGAAAGTCTATCCCGCTAAATGAAACCTAATAAAAAACTATTCATCACTTTAAAATTTGGGAACGAAAGAAAAGGAAATATTTGGTTATTTAAATTCTTCGAGAAAAGGTTGTTAGAACTTATCTAAGATATTGTCTTGATATTTTAAAATAATTGAATATTCTTTATCTTTTTTAAAAAGGCTTGGTAATTTCAATTAAATCTATTTTGGTGCTTTTGAATATTAAATTTCATTGTAAAATTCACATCTTTGTTATTTTATGGGATCAAAAATTAAATTAAGTTTGAGTTTGTAAATTTCATTTCAAAGACATTGATTAGTCGACTAGGTGCCAATTTAGGGCGATGTGGGGGTGCTAATCCTTCCCCATGCATAACCGACTCCCGAAATCATTTTCTGGTACGCAGAATTCAATTTGTTGTTTTACTTAAAATTAATTTTTATTTAAAATGACAAAACATTTTTGGGTGTCCAATCATACCCTAATCAAAGATTGATGGTGACTCTTTGAACCGTATCTTTTTATTTTTAAAAGGATTCCCAATTTTTTCGAAACAAGAGGTTTTTTAAATCATATATTTTTTTAATTAAAAATTAACCAAAAGAGATAATAAAAATTGGTGTGATTTTTAAAACCTCATCCGGGGAAAAATCGTTTTGACAGTTTAGCGACTCTGCTGGGGATTTTTTTTAGAGAGTCAGGCCATTAGTCGATTAATAAATTGTCTTTGCAAATAAAATTACAAGTTTGTTCTAATTTGGTTTTTGATCCCTTGTTTGGTTTTAAATAAGTTTTGTTTGCATTTTGACTCTTAATTTGCTTAACCACTAAATAGTTGTATTGATCTGTTTGCTAATGTTTTCATATTAAAAAATTGTTTAGGGTATTGAGTTTTCTGTTCAGTGTTGATTGCTTTGTTTTCGCTTTTCCTCACACACTGCATAACTGCATTTGCACAACATGAGCTAAAACCTCGCTCTGTCCTATTTAAGTAGGAGTAAGTAACTACTCCCTCGTGTGGTTTTCACCTCCGTGCAGGATAGTGAAACGCTCCTTGGGCTCACCCCTTATGATCCTCATGAGGTTTTCACCTCCGTAATGACATAAGGAAGTGTGTCCCCTCGAATTGAACTCGATTCGAAAGCCTGTGATGGGCCAGGATTAAGGGTTTGGTAGCCCAAGGGGCACCAGCAAAGGATAATTCAAGGACCCCTTACTTTAGAACCAAACCCATCATGTAGTAAACTTAGAACCCATATACGACTTTACCCAGACCATATGATCTTGTGAGGAGAATACACAAGGAAAAACTTATTTGAGCATTCTTTAGTGAAATTTTAATTTTTCAAATAAATGTATGCGAACTAGAAATCATGCAGTTAGGTTTAATTTATTGGATAAGCATACGAACTAGACAACATGAGGTTAGGGTGTTCTATAAACAAAGCATATGGGTAGAAATCATGACTGGGTAGGATTTACTAAAGCATGATTGGGTATACATCATGTGGGGTAGGTTTTATTGAAAAATAAAATTATATTCGATTAATTCATTTATGATTACTAACCAATTTTCTCTTATCCTTTTGTGTAATTTTGTTACCATTTTGCATTGCATTATTCATCTCATGGTGTTGATCCTTGAAAAATGTCCATATAGAAGGCTAGTAATATGGAACGAATGATTAAAAAGAGGTAGAAAATGATGCAGATATTCTGAGATGGTCCAAACAGTCGCAACTAACAAATAAAGGCAGTTTGAAGACTGTCTTAGATCTAATTGGGCACACACATCAATGACCATCAAAATGACCTGATCGCTAGCTACCTTCAACATGCTCAAGGAAGGGCTCAGTACTTGGTTAACTTATCACATAATGTTGATGCTGTAAGCGAAGGATTGAGGCCTGAAACTGAAGAAGATTATAGGATCCTGGACTTACTAGGCACATCTAACAATTAGAAGAGATAGTTCAGATTTATCTGTGATCTGTTTAATTCTTATAATCAAGCTTTGTTTCCTATATAAAAAGTTGTTCTAAGGAATTGTCCCAGAATCAACACCTTGCATTGCATTCATCTTGCATCTACATCGCATTTACTTTCACGAATAACATTCTAATCACATTGTCACACCTCATTAATAAAGCACCATGATTAATAAAAAGATTATATGGAAGAATACTGGACACTTATAAGCATCCGTACAACACGCAAAAAAGGAAATGGATGAAAAAATTATCCAAATAGAGAAGGCTCAAGCTGAAATACAAGAGAATTTAAAGAAAGTGCAAGAGGATATGCACGAACAGATGATAAAGGCCCAAAATGACATGATGAAAAAGTTGGTTAGTTTGCTACAATGAAATCGTATAATCTAAGGAGAGACTCCAGTTATCGGTCCTATTGCTGAGGAAACGTTATATCCCTCTGGCTTCATGTCCGACCATAACAAACAACGACTGTCTAATCGTAAAAAATACAAGTGAACCTACTTGGCTCTTCTACAAACCCGCAACCAATTGAAGATGTCCCTGATTTGGATGAGGAAGACAAAAAAGAACAGGATAAGGAGTTTAAGAAAGAATGGGAACAAATGAAGCGTGAATTCTGAGCTATAAAAGAAGATGCTAGCCTATATGGAATTGACGCCAGAGAGCTAAGTTTGGTTCTTGATTTAGTACTGCCACCGAAGTTCAAAGTTCTAGACTTCCAGAAATTTGATGGCACCAGTTGTCCTTCTGCACACATTACCATGTTTTGCAAAAAATGGCAGATTATGTGGGAGACGATCAACTGTTAATTCATTGTTTTCACGAGAGCCTGACAGGCTCAACAATCTATTGGTACAATCAGCTAAGTCGGGCTCAGATTAAATCCTGAAAGGATTTGGCTAGGGCTTTTCTAGAGCACTATAAGCACGTAAAAGAGGTAAGGCCAAACCGAATCCTGTTATAGAGCATGGAGAAGACGTCCAATGAGAGCTTCATGCAGTATGCTCAAAGGTGGATGAATGTGGCTGTGCAAGTTCATCTACTCCTAGAGGAAGAAGAAACTAATATGCTCTTCATGAACACTCTGAAAGCCCCATTCTTTGGCCACCTCATAGGAAATTTATCCAAGAATTTTGCTGATATAGTCAATGCATGGGAAATAATTGAGATGGCGATCAAAAGTGGGAAGCTAGACGGAGGAGAATTTAGCAGGAAGCTAACAGTGAAAAGGAATGATAGTGAGGTCAGTAACATAGGGAAATATGACTCCAACAATATTATTGTGTCCCTACCTCAAGCCACCGGGTTAACCATGCAGAACCTTGTCCAAAAAGGGGCAAGAGAACTAAGGCATGAAAGAAAATGGATTCAATTTGACCCCATCCCCATGACCTATAAAGATTTGTTCCAAATCTTGTACGACAAGCATGTGGTCACCTTACCATACTTCACCAATGCAACCTCTTTACCCGAAATGGTTTGACATCAATGCCCAGTGCGAATATTACACAGGGATTCCTAGGCATTCAATTGAAAATAATTTTTCCTTTAAAAAGGGTGTACAAGGTTTAAAGCAGAGAAATGTCATCAACTTCAGTGACAACGAACAACCCAATGTGGTTCAAAACCCACTACCAAACTATGTAGGGTAGGTATCAATGCAATTATCAAGAAATGAGGAGCAATTGAGGGTAAAAACCCTAATCTAAATGGACACCCACAATTCTAGGAGGAATAGGGTATTCTGGCTGAACAAGTGAAAGTCGTGCTCCACCGCAATCGCATTTTCCTTTTGCAGCATCCTGTTTGAACTTGTTTTTTGTGCTTTCTTATATTTATTTTTGTAAGCATATTTAAATAAATTTACACTGTTTTAAAAATGGTGAGCATTGAATCAAATTTGCAAGCTTGCAGTTCTTCAAATATTAACTGAAGTAAAAACTCTTTAATTAATCAGAGCTATAAATATTTGACAAAATAAAAAGATTGAAAACTAATAAAACAATGACCCTGGACCTTACCCCAGAAGATACAATCGAA